ATTATTTACAATGTCCTACTTAATCATGTACTTATATATTTTTAACTTAAGACAACATCACACATATCTAATAAAGCAGTGGTGGGTTGCTCCCGGTTCTGTCCGGTTCTTGAGAACTGGTAGTAAAAGCGACAGGAGACTCCGCCCACCTGCCCCAACATCATATTTGGTGATCTGTGCATGCACATAAGCTTCTGTGCATGCGCATAAGTGCGCATACTCCTGTTGTGAACCGGTAGTAAAGGTAAGTAGAACCCACCCCTGTAATAAAGTACATTTTAGTTCATGAAAGTTTAAGCCCGATTAATTAGTTATCCCCTTAGGTGCCACAGCCGAAGGGTGTTTTTTTGTTTTTTTTTTTACAAATTTCTGGCAATTGTTTGTGGGCTTTTTGCTGACACCAAGATTAAAAAGTTGCTGTTTTATGGATTTTCTTATAGATAAAGGATGGACATGGAATGAAGAGATATTTGTTTGTAACCTTATAGGGGGAGAAGACTTATTAAATTTTTGTATGCTTGTTATAATGAAGGCCAAGTAACTCCTTTATATATTTCTTTATTATATTTATCTTCTCTTTCTTCTTTCTTTTTCTTGTACTTTGATTTTTTTCTATTCTCTTTTTTTTCTAAATTTTTTTTGGTGTTACTTTTTTGTAATCAAAATTCTTAATAAAAAATGATACACAAACACACAAAACCAATAATAATGCCACATTCAACAACAAGCAAAATGTCTTGGGTACTATATACCAGTCCAAAATATTTTGCTGCTTCCTTATTTGGACAACACTTTAAAAAGTGTTAAATGCATTTGTCAAATATTTTCATCTTGTTATCTCCTTGTGCTATTTTTCTGAATCAAATCAATTTTTGTAAGCCTTAACAAGACTGCTCTACAAGAAATGCAGGACCTAACAGCAGCAAGATTGTTGGTAGCACAACACTGGAAGAAGAACTTTTTGCCTACTATTGATGATTGGATATTGAAAGTAACTAATTTAGCTGAAATGGCTAAAATTTCAGCATATCTGAAGGATCACACACAAGAAAGGTATATACAGGACCGGAGAAGATGGATTGATTATATACAAAATAAGTATCAGACCAAAAAATATCAAATAGCTTATGAATGATTTCTTTTATTTGTATAAGCGTTATATAAGTGATATTAGAAGTATTATGTTTAAGAAATAGGATTTTACATATGGGGGGTTAAGAATTTTTTTTTAGGGGATGTTAGTTTAATGATTGGTTATGCAATTTAGTTTATTGTTAAAGGTCAATAGAAATACCTTGTGTTCTGCTCTGGGAAGTCGGGGAGGGGGAGGGGGGTTGGGAGGGGGGGTTGTGGGGAAATTGTGTTTGTTTTAAAACTTTTTCAATAATAAAAAAAAAGAAATGCAGGACCAGTTGTACAAGATTCTGGTCACTAATGTATTTTCTAATGTATCTTGGCATCAGGAGAGCTATCATCTCCATGAAATGCAGATGCTAGGATTACTAATTAGAATTATCCCAGACTTTTTACATTTTTTGACAGACACACCCATCCTAAAATGTTGGCAGTTGATTTTAACTCTCCCCTCTTCTATGTCAAACAAAGTTGCCTTGCCTTCAAGTCTATGCAAATCAGCCAGCTGTCACCATATCAGGATGAGTGAAAATCATGTTTAAAGGGATTGTAATTCAATAGGTTTTTTTTCCCCCCACTGTCTTGGGCAAAAGGACTTGGCATGTCAGGAATGTAGAGGAACTCTGCCTTTGATTACTGCCTTCGAAGATTCAACTTTAATTCAAAGAGCCTGAAGCTATTTCAGAGTGAAAAGAAGTCACATTCCAGAAGCCATCTTTCCCTTAGCTGATGAAGAATTTTTTAGCTCCTGTACTTTCTGGCTTGTGACTGAACACTCCTCCAGAGAATTAAGGACTACAAATCCAATTCATTAGGACAGGAACCACAAATAAACAGCAATGAATAATTTAAGTCTCATGTAATGTAAATTGCTATAGAGATGGTTTTTTGAAAGAAGAATCAGACTGTGGAACAAAGAGTGTTTCCCTCCTCAGTTGTTTTTAAGGGGGGAAAATACATGGAATCAGATTCTGCCATTAATTCTGCCAGAAGGTAGCAAGAGGAAAATTAGTGATAGAATATTAAAATATCTGCTGACAAAAGACAGGCATTTATTCCATCAACTTCTAGAAGCAAATTGAACACTTATTAATGCATACCCGGTTAGCTAAACTCATCTTCCTGTCCTTCAGAACTGAAGAATGTCATGTAGAAAAACCGTATGTTATTGGAAGCAGATACTCTTTGACTGACTGATTGCTGAAAGAATGAAACAAGGAAGGTATTTTGTATGGGTCCTGTGCATTATGATGGGTATGATGAAAAAAAACAAAGGCAGGGAGATCAGGAAGCAATGAAGAAAACCCCAAGGAGATAACTGTGGATGATGAGATTAGTGAGGGACAAGACTACAAGTAAAGGAGGTTAATTGGTCACAATGATATAACTTATGCCGGTCCTTTTCTTAAAAATAACTGCAGGACTACGAATGATTGCCAGGCAGGAAATGTGGAATGAGAGGGAGAATATGTCATAGGCATAATTCATTGTGTGAGCTGACACTTGTCAGTAACTGTCAAAACAACAGACACAACAAAACAACTGTGAATAAGAAAAGAAGGTAGCAAGCATATATACAGTATGCCATACTTGGTAAAGTCAAGACCAGAATTGTGTTCTGAAAAAAGATCTTGGCAGCAATTATCTATCTTTTAATCATGTATGATGCTCGGATGGCCATAATCAAACCTGGAAATGATTATTCCCCAGTCCTGGAAGCTATGTGAGTAATTGGCATGGCACATAAGTATACGGTATGCATGCATTGCTTTTAATTTGATGGCAACTAGATTTTTTTTCAATGTATATATGTGTGTGCATAAATGCTTATGCACCTTCACAGCCCTATTATTTCAGCCCTCCACAAAAATCACAGTTTCTCATGTAGCCCCTAGGAGAAATTAATTGTCCACCCCTGCTCTAATACATTCATAACATAAACAATTGCTACCAACCTACTGCATGAGTCAAAAAAAAAAGGCTGTGAAAATATTTACAGACCCCTCACATCCTGGACATAACCTGTTTCAACTCCTACCCTCAAAACGACGCTATAGAGCACTGCACACCAGAACAACTAGACACAAGAACAGTTTTTCCCCAAACACCATCACTCTGCTAAACAAATAATTCCCTCAACACTGTCAAACTATTTACTAAGTCTGCACTACTATTAATCTTCTCATCATTCCCACCACCCATCACCTTCCACTTATGACTGTATGACTGTAACTTTGTTGCTTGGATCCTTACAATTTATATTGATATTGTTTCCTGATTGCTTATTTGTACCCTATGACTATCATTAAATGTTGTATCTTATGATTCTTGATGAATGTATCTTTTCTTTTATGTACACTGAGAGCATATGCACCAAGATCAATTTCTTGTGTGTCCAATCACACCTGGCCAATAAAAAATTCTATTCTATTCTATTCTATTCTATTCTATTCTATTCTATTCTATTCTATTCTATTCTATTCATAAATGTTTATTATTCATTTTCAATTTGGAATGGGTTCTAAAAACAGTCCCATTGGCTAGGTGGTTTTAATATCTAAACTAGGTTTCCATATATGTGCCTGTCCATTTTAGGGTTCCTAATCCTGTGGGCTTCATGCCAACTTCCAAATCATTTTCCACAACCTGCAACAAAATGTACATGTTAAAAATTATGTGCCATGAAATAGGCATATGTTCTATCCATTAAAACCAACCTCCTTTCTGATTTTATGGTAAATGGGTACTGTTGGTCAACTATAATGACAAAACAAATGGGCAATTATTTTGATCTGAAAGATCACACCCCATCAAGCATAAATTTAACACCCTCATTACAGGAGAAATCAACTTTATTAGCATATATTACATTTTTGTACCATATGTTCTCTACAGTAAAAGCATAAAAATGAGGAGTTTATGAATATAGATATAAAACCATTAATTTCACAAATGCTTGAAGGCTGAATCCCAGGAAGATACCTTCCTTTCTCAGAAGTAGAGATGGTGAGTATGGCAAAATTCCACACCATGTCAAAGTTAGATGGCTGACTCAGGGGAATGTTCTGAGGTGAACACTAATTCCTTCATGAAATTGAAAGGCAGTTTCCCATCTAGATTATTCTGCAATCTTCCTTTTGTAACAGATGTAACTGATCACCTGAAAGCACTAAACTTGAAGCTTCAAAATAGAGAACCAGTGATAAGATAGATGCAGGACACTGTTATAGCATTGAAACTGAAGCTTGCTTTAGGGGAAGGGAATTCTTGGCTATTTCTCAACTCTGGATAAGGCTGTACTCTGATGTTTAACGGAATTTTCAGATATCATTTCTCATATACAGAAACAACTTGATATATAACTGCAATGATTTCCAAGTACTTGAACCACAATTGCAGTTTTTGCCTACACCGTTTGTGGTCGAAATTGACAATTCTGCAGAGGAAATAGAGATGGACTGAGTAGTGCTTCAATATGATACCATTTGAAGCCGAGGTATATACATGTTGGAAATTCAGATTTTTACTAGGTTCTTTCCCAAATTAATTGCTGCTTCTACAAGAGCATACACACGCTTTTTTTCCCCTCATCTGTGAACATTCAAATTGGCCGATAGATATTTATTATACTCAGGTTGTTTTCCCAAAAAACACATTTCAATATTTTGTTCTGATTAATGAGCAATGGTTGAAACCTATGGCCAAATTGATATGTTGAAAAAGTAACTTGATTTTATAATGGCATTTTTCCTATGTAATAAATGTATGTTTAATGGCATACTGTAATACTCTTCATGTTCTTTATTTTTGACTCACTAGAGACGTTTGTATCAACACATGAAAAAGGCTTCAGTGTTGCATGCCTTGGGCTAATGAACTAGCTCTCAAACAGCACTTCTGTTGATTTGAGTGTGAAGCTTCCAGTCTTAACTGCTTCTAGTGGTAAGTGGTAATGCCATTAAGTCTGATCTTAATACATTAGCATTTGGGTTTCTGAGGTAGATAAAACTGCTTGAGCTATAAGAGAGCAAATGATATAATAATTGTTCATTAACTTTGTACAAAGCTATTAACTAAAGTTTTTTTTAAAGGTCCCAAATATGACATATACCTGTGAAAAAAGTTAGCACTCACCCCTCCTAGAAGAATGAAATATTTTGGGAAATATTAAGAAGGCAGAATATTTTATTTCCCTGGATGAGAAAAGGAGAAACAGGTTTTTAAAGACAAAGAGCAGTTCCCTTCCCCCAGCAGATATTTGGTGCACATTAAGCCTGGGCCAGCCTATCTACAAGACAAGTAGACCTTCAGCTCCAGGCTGATGGGATTAAGACATAATAGGATTAGCCCTCTACCCATCTAGGAACAGAACTCACCACATGGCACCTTACATCAGCCCAAGGTTCAATTCAGCTGCCTACAAAGTTACCCCTGCATAGCCCCCTGGGACATTCTTTGCACAGGAACAGGAAACTCAAGGGCAGGGCCCAAGAGAGAGTATAAATAACTCTTACTCTCCACTCCATGTGGTGAGCTACTTAGATTCACCCGTGCTTGGTGGTTCTGCTTCACCATTAAATCATCTGTCCAAGCAGCCTTCATGTTTCCATGTCTTTCTCCCCACTTGGAACTGAACCCAGATGGACATTTCTTCCAACACCTGTAACTTATGTTAATTAAGAAACATGAAGCTATTAGTTTGGATTTGACTTTATGTAAAATAAAATTTAAGGAGAATTTAACCCTTTTTTTCCTAATTGGTTTCTACTCAAATTTCATCTTTATATAGCAGTTAGAAGAGAATAAAGGAAGTCTCCTTGCTATCAATAAACAAAGTTCATGTTCTTTTAATCTGCAAATGCCTGCCCATACTTAGCACCTTTTTATTCCTCTTTCCCTTTCCTTAATTCTTGCATTTTGCAGCAAAATATTCCTTCTTGTGCTTTGTGCCCGGACTGATTACATTGTCTTGTTTTCTGGGTATTACATGGATAAAACCATCACAATTTTCTTCATGCAGAAATGTCAGTTGGTTTAAAGGGATGCAAATATGGTGTGGCAAGATCCCAATACTGAACAGTTTGGCTTTGAACTACCTTTTGCAGTGTGGAACTAATCACAAGTAATTTCACACAGAGAAACAAGGTAAGGGCATGTATCATTATTTGATATTGCAAAAGATGCTCTGGCTTTGGCTCCTCAAAATGTGATGAGATCTGGTTCAAAATGCATAGCTAAATTTGCAGACTTAATTCGTTTTTTCTTAGCACTTTTTCCTAAATATCATCTGACATTTACTTCTCACAGGAAAATCCAGATGACAGTGGGACAAAAAAAAATGCAGTGTTCCTTGTGCTAATTTCTCATAGTTTTTCTGACTTGATTTGAATGTTTAACCAAAATATTTTTAAAAATTCTACAAATAATCTTATTGTAACTTAACTTTTATTGTTTGAGCACGGAAATAAAATCATTGTAGGAATGACTGTTAATAATCGTAAAGAGGATCTTACTCCTTTCTTTACTTTTTATAATTGTTGAAATATTGAATATATTTCACAAATTAATATGAATAAAAATAATGGATGGGTATCATTGTGCAAGCTTCCAAATGAACGTGCGCACACTCATTCACACACACACACACACACACACACACATTGAACAAACATTCCATATCCATAATCAGTTTCTGTTAATATTCCCCCATACACTTCCATATCTCCACTCAAATATTGTTATAATTATGCAAATCTGCTAAAGGATGTGACTTATCCGATAGCAATAGCAACAGATCACAGTCATGGGACTTTGACTTTTTCAGGAAAGATATGTTACTAACTTTGAAAGTACATAAATTTCTCAATTGCTTTACCAGGTGTGGATTGCCAATGCTACAGAATAACAGCATCAAGCACTCAGCTCAGAAATGAAGTAAACCAAGTGAACTATGCTATACAAATGAGTGCAATGTGTGAGTGCAATGTGATTTTAAGCGAGTAAAATTTCATTTAATGGGCAAAAATGCTGCTGCTGAAAAAATATCAGTAGATGACCTTTGTTGTCCTTGATGTTGGATCTTGTATGCACAATTTGGCTCTGAGATTCCAGGGATGGCATGAACCGTAATCCACACAGTAAGAACACATATGAAGAATATGCCTTACCATTCTTTTATCAACAAGGAGAATGAGCTTTGAAAGCAGAAAAAACAGGAATAACATGAATTCATAATTCCAATGTAAGGACTAACATCTGTTAACACAAGCATTGAGAGTAACAGTGAAGATAACTCTGAAATTATTAGCTAGGTTAGGGAGGTTTCTAACATTCTGCAGGTGCAGACACCAGGCTATTACCCTAGCCACATTCCAGCTTAAATAATTTCATACATTCAAAAATTACATTTTGAAGTGTAAATGTTCCTGTCAATTTGTGCTAGTTAAGCTATGCAGTCTAGCACATCTGGTACATTATTTCATCGGTTTTTGCATCCAAGCTGTAAAGGAAAAAAACGAAAGGAAAAAAAATACACCCTCAAACCACACAACTGGACATCAGATGAAAAATCTGTATGAAGCCACACATCTATTTCTGCCTTATTTAGTTCCCCAGTCTTTTCTTTGCTGCATTTTAAGGTATAACAATGAATCCACTCTTTTAAGCATTGTACATGTAACATTTTTTTAAAAAAATAAATTTAGTTTATTCAGATTCCAGCCTGAATGGGTGGAAGGACGCTTATGCAACACATTTCTTTGTCCTTCCTTTCTTTTTGAATCTTTGGAAGATTGAGGAAGAGATGGTACAATAACTTCGTAAATGGGGCATATGTACGGGAAGTAGAGTAAAACATTACCTCTGTGAAAGGTATGCTTGACAGCATACTATGATTTCATCAAAATGACGATATGTGTGCTATGTTATTTATTTATTTATTTATTATTTATTAATCAAATTTCTATACCGCCCTACTCCCGAAGGACTCAGGGCAGTGAACAGCCAAGATAAAATACAGATAATACAAATATTAAAAATCCCTTAAAATTATTAAATATTTTGGCCGAAACACAGATTAAAACATCCAATTTATAAAATCACGAATTAAAAATTTAAAAGAGGAGAGTTAGGCCAGGCAGTATCACAGTTTATCACAGTAAAGTCCTGCCCATTATGTACCTGCACACATTTTTGGTCATTGTGTGTGTTAATGTTAGAATGAGGTTTCTTGACATAAATTTAAAACTGTAAAGGAGGAAAACAGATCTTAATTTTTCAGACCTTCCTGCTTTTCAGTAAATCTTGAGATTCATTTAGTTCAAGTATCAACTTTGATCTTTTGAATTGTCTCAGCCATTATCAGTTCCATTAATGGTCAGGAAGCATCACATTATCTATTTCATCCTGATTGGGAAGTGTCAGGCATGAGTTATTTAGGATAAATAAGAATGAATCTGAGGGTAGAGGTTTGTTCTCTGAGCTTGTGAGTTCATTTCTGAATTACTTCATTACCAGGCTAGGTAACATCTTCAGTGGAGTTTAGAAGATGTCAATGTCAGTGGGGTTTTTTGTTTGTTTGTTTATAAGGGCTTTGTGTGGTCAGTAGGTCTTGTAATGGGGAGATCACTTCAGGTGAGGGTCTTGTGATGGGTCTTGTGATGAAGTGGTCATATCAGATGAAGATCATTGGGAGGTAAAGTGCTGGTTGGGGGTGGCATGAGGATGGGTTGTGTGGGTTGGTTGAGGATCAGTGCTGTTGTTGGTTGGCTGTGTGGTTGATTTTAATTCTGAGGGATTCATAGGCTGGTTGTAGGTCAATATGTCTGTTTATGGAATTGCAAGCATGGTGAGTTTATGAATCATCAGCCATGCTACCACCCTCCATGCTTACAAGTTTATCAAAGTCTGGCACTTCACAAGCAAGCACTTGTATGTGCTATTCTTAGAGCTTTTAGTCATTCTTTGACAAAGTGACAACATTAGAGGAATGCTATGGTATAATTTACTTGGGCTTCAGTAAGGCATTTGATAAAGTAGACCACAATCTACTTCTTGATAAAATAGAAAAATGTGGGTTAGACAGCATCATCACCAGATGGATTCGTAACTGGCTGACCAAACACACTCACCATGTATTCCTCAATAGAACTGTATCTACATGGAAGGAATAATCCAGTGGGGTACTCCAAGGCTCTGTTTTAGGCCCAGTACTCTTCAACATCTTCATCAATATTTGGATGAAGGGATAGATAGGGAACCTATCAAATTTGCAGATGACACCAAGTTGGCAGGAATAGCCATCACTCCAGAAGATAGGTTAAGATACAGAAGGATCTTGACAGACTTGAACATTGGGCGCTAGCTATCAAAATGAAATTCAGTGGTAAAAAAAAGCAAAGTTCTACATTTAGGGAAGAAAAACAAAATACACAGGTACAGTATATGTGGTACCTTGCTCAATAGTGGTGATGTGAAAGGGATCTTGGAATCCTAGTGGACAATCACTTAAATATGAGCCAGCAGTGTGCTGCAGCTGCCAAAAAAGCCTAGGTTACATAAACAAAGGGATAGAATCAAAATCATGTGAAGTGTTAATACATGATAGCAGTGTTCGGATATTTCAGGGGTTGCCTCACATATAAGAGGGAGTCAAGCTATTCTCCAAAGCACCTAAGGGCAGGACAAGAAGCAATGGGTAGAAACTAATCAAGGAGAGAAACAACTTAGAACTAAGGAGAAATTTCCTGACAATTCGAACAATTGATCAGTGGAACAACTTGTGAATGCTCCAACACTGGAAATTTTAAAGAAGAGATTGGATAACCATTGGTCTGAAGTGGTGTAGGGTTTCGTGCCTAGGGGGTTGAACTAGAAGACCTCCAAAGTCCCTTCCAACTCTGTTATTCTGTTCTGTTCTGTTCTGTTCTGTTCTGCTCTGCTCTGCTCTGCTCTGCTCTGCTCTGCTCTGCTCTGCTCTGCTCTATTCTATTGTACAAATTCCCCACTTTAAGAAAGAGATTTGCAAGTATTTACAGAATTTTGTCCCTAATTCTGCATTATCTGGAAAAAAATGTTGTTGAGTTTTAGACTTAAAATATCAAGTGAATAAGTAAGTGAGAGCTAATAAATATATTGCAATATATACAGGTGATAAAATATTATATACATTAATAATTACACATTTAAAGTATTATTTATATTTATAATAATATCATAATATATTATTATAAATATTATAATAATTCCACCTTTTGCATTAGCACAGTATCTAACCTGACAAATGCAGCTAGCCTTATAAAAGAAAAGCTGACTTATGTATCTCCATGAGTTAAACTTCATAAAAACTGCACAAAATGAATGGATACGGAAAACTTAAGTAGGGATGTTGCCCACCTTGATGAGATGGATTCCCACTGCCCTCTTTAGAAAGCTTTGAAAACTGTTTTACTTAGTTGTGATTTTTATCTGTATCAGAATGAGTAGGGAACCATTTGTTATTCATGTACAATTTTATGGGATTGAGATGCTTTTAGTGGAATATTATATTGTTTGGATGTCTGGATTTTGTGATTGCATTTTTGCTATTCAAATATTGCAAGCTTCCACGAGTTTATGGATTATGTAGCATATATGCAAATATAATTAATTAATTAATTAATTAATTAATAAAATACTGTTTTGTATGAAAAAAACCCTTTAGGTCCTAATGAGCATGTAAATATGCTTACTTTTAGACAGATTTTCTTGACTGTACCAAAACTAAAGATGGAAACAGCATTCATAAAAAATCAATTAATTAATTCCTTTCACCTGGTTCAGATATCTTAAAGATCTCCTATTTTGTTATGTTTTGTCATATAATGCTAACTCCAAATATATTTTTATTAAAGAAAATTCCAAACACAATGATAATTACATGCAATGCTTATAGTTTTGGGTAAATGACAGAGCATATATACTGTAGCTAGATGAGATACATAACACTGAGAATGAAATAATGAAATATGTTATTCCTGTTTTAGAAAGTTAAAATAACAGCTGCAGCAGCAACTGAATGCAGGAGAAAGAACAAGAATAAAGGAAAAGTAAAATGCCTTAAAACATTTAGGCAGTCTTTTATTAGAAATACAAAGAAAATGATATTTGAAGCAATTATATCAATTTTTTCTCATTTTAGTATAGTGTGTGATGAGAATCATTATATATTATCTCACCATTATATATTCTCTTGCCCATGGACTCTTAACTGGCATTTGAAACCATAAATCCTACCCAATGATATGGCTGAGTTTTTGACAACATGCATAAAATAGCACTGTAAATTCTGTATTAATCACTGGCAAAAGAAAACTATTGGTGGTATGCTAACCTCAAATTTAAACTTTATTCATTTATAAAGTTTAGATATGTTAGATTTATAAATTTGTTAGATTTATAAATACAGGATAGATGATAGATAGATAGATAGATAGATAGATAGATAGATAGATAGATAGATAGATACTAGATAGATAAAAGTAAGCAAGAAACAAGATCATGTGAAGTATTAGTAACACTTTATAAAGCCTTTGTAAGACCACACTTAGAATACTGTATCCAGTTTTGGTCACCATATTATAAAAAAGATGTAGAGGCTTTTTAGAAGAGACTGGACAGCTATTTGTCTGGATTGGTATAGGGCAGGGGTGAAATCCAGTAGGTTCTGACAGGTTCTGGAGAACCAGTAGCAGAAATTTTGAGCAGTCTGAAGAACCAGTCGTGGAAATTTTGAGTAGTTCAGAGAACCGGCAAATACCACCTCTGGCTGGCCCCAGAGTGGAGTGGGAATGGAGATTTTGCAGTATCCTTCCCCTGCCACACTCACCAAGCCACGCCCACCAAGCCACACCACGCCCACCAAGCCAACTCACAGAACTGGTAGTAAAAAAAAATGGATTTCACCACTGGTATAGGGCCCCCTGCTTT